CCCCAAAACCCCAAAACCCCTAAACTTTGATTTATAGAATTATTATGTGTGCAGCTTATATTGATAATTGACTAATTTTAATGTTTAAAGTTCTTTGGATTCTTCAATTTAATGATTAGCAAATTAATCATATAAAATTATAACAAAATAAAGTAATTACTAACAATGCAAGATCAAAAAAATCTTAACGAGACACTGCTCTCGAAATCATAGTAAATCACTTATCTCTAATTACAATATGTATTAGATAAGATTAATTTCACTCAGTGGATCTAGGAAATAATAGTGCAGAGAAGAACTTAGACAATTTCTAAAAGGAGCCGAAGATTAAAGTCTCAAAATTAGATGCTATACTTGGATTACTGTTCATGTTGTTTGCCGTTTTTATGATGAATGTCTCTAGTGTATACATTAAATTGTTACTTTTGTCTAATTCGGCATTTACTGCTATTGAAGTAATGTTTGTAAGAGGGATTTTTTAAGTAATGATTAATCAACCAGTTATGTGGTACTTTGGATTATCATATGGAACTATTAGTCGGGAGAATTTGATTAAATTGATGTGGAGATTCTCGTTAAGCTATTGTTCTTGGTTTTTGTAATATCTTTCAGTGAAATATTTGTCACTCGGATTGATATAAACTATCTAGAATCTATCACCATTTATTACGTTAATTTTGGCCTATTTAATTTTAAGTGAAAAACTCTAATGCATAGAAGTTTTTAATATGCTTGTATCTTTTGGCGGTGTGTTGGTCATAGTTTATTTCTCAACTTAAGATAATGCTAAATAGTAATCCACTGGAATGGCTCAAGTATCTTAGTTTATGTTTATTACAGCAATCATAATGAACTTTGTCTCGGCATCAACATTGGGGCTTACTAGTGTAGTCATTAGACAGCTTAAAGGATTGCATTGGTCTATCCTTTCGGGCTTTTAAGGTTGCATGAGTTCAATAGTTTCTATAATTATCTGGATAATCTATAGATTTGTATATATGAGAGAATATATCCCATATTTTTTTACTCTCAATGATTATCTCTACATTTTTTGCCTTGGAATAACTGCGGGGCTTGCTCAAATATCTTGGATTAAAGCACTTTAGTTTGATAAAGCTGGCAGATGTGCTAGTCTCACGCTTTTAAATATAGTGTTTGGCTTTTTGTTTGATGTTTTGATTTTCAACTACAATTTAAGGATTTATGAGATACTAGGTGGGTCTGTTATTATATTATGCTCTGCTTTTGTGTTTATAATAAAATTAAGAACTAAAGATGAATGAAAAAAACTTAATTTACTTGAATGAAAAATCTATTTACAAACTAGTTAAGATTTTGATATTTTCTATAAATTCAATCTTTGTAATATTTATGATAAGCGGGGTTTTGGGGTTTTGGGG